TAGGTATGTGGCTTAGTGATAAATCTCCCCTGGGTCCAATCCCTGGTACCCAGAAACAACCACCAAATAATGGGGAAGGAAACAGCTGCACATTATTTCCCTAAAGCCATCGTTATTGGCCTGTCAGTTGGTGACCCAAGATGGTCCACTTTGAATCCCAAGACTCAATAGGAAGAAATACTCTTCTTTTTTAATTGTTTGTTTTTAGGGTTTGGGGAGAATTGTATGTTTTTTGTTTTGTGGTACTGGGGATTGAACCCAGGGATCTCACATGCTGGGCAAGCACTCTACCACTAAGCTGCATCCCCAGCCCTTCAGCAGCTAAGAGCTCCTGGATCCCTGTGAAAGCTAAGAATGAAATCAGCATAGAAAAGTGAGATCTGAAAGCTAAAGTGCAATCTTTTTTTTTTTTTTTTTTTTTTGAGTCAGGGTCTCACTAAGTTGCCAAGGCTAACCTCAAACTTATCCATCCTCCTGTCTCATCCTCATTAGTAGCTAAGATTACAGGTATGTGCCACCACCAACCCACATCCCCAGTCTTGTTTATTTTTTACTTTGAAAAAGGGTGTAACAAAGTTGCAAAGGGCTTTACTATTTGTTGATGCTGGCCTGGAACCTGTAATCCTCAAACCTCTCAAGTCACTGGGATTACAGGTATGGTCCACTGTGCTCAGCTATAACTGTGTCTTAAAAGTATTGAATGACCAACTATGTTAAACCACATCTGAAGCTAGGAAGAAGAAAAAATTTATATAAGGATGAGGAGTATCAACTACAAAACTCAGTCTAACAAGGTAATCTAGTCAAGTGGCCTATTATGTAATAAATGTACAAAAGTTATTAGTATGTAATCATCAGCAAGTAATTTTGAAATCTAATGGGAAAAATACCTCAAAAGCAACAAAATTACATTGTACTTAGGAATAAATTTAATCAGATACATACAAGACATATAACTATGAAAACTCTTGAGAAATCTAAAGCAAAAAGTCTACTAAATTAAAAGTCACCTATATTCACAGGAAGACTCAGTATTTTAAAACATCAATGATCACTGGGCACAGTGGCACACACCTTTAATCCCAGTGATTCAGGAGGCTGAGGCAGGAGGAACGTAAATTCAAAGCCAGCCTTAGCCACTTGGCAAGACCCTAAGCAAATTTAGTGAGAACCCGTCTCAAACAAAAAGAGCTGGGGATGTGGCTTAGTGGTTAAGTGTCACTGGGTACCATCACTGGTACCAAAAAATAATAATAAGATGTCAATGATGTCCCACTTCATTTGTTTTAATAATAGTGGAATTTCTGGTAGCCTTGCTAAAGGAATTCTGAAATTCACTTGAAAGAATTGATTTGTGAGAAAAGCCAGCAAATTTTAAAGTGAGTTCTTCTTTAGGAAGAACTTATTAATTCAGTGCATCCCTGGAAAAGGAATTGGCAGTCTGATAAATGGAATAAAATACAAAAGCCCTAAAACAAATTTATTTCCTAATAAGTGTGGCATTTCCTGGGGGGGGGGGGAGTGATTCCTCTGATGCCAGGCCATGGTGGCACAGGCTTGTAATTCTGGTGAGTTGAGTGTCTGATACAGAAGGATCACATGTTCAAGTCAGCCTCAGCAATTTAGCAAGACCTTGTCTCAGAACAAAAAATAAAACGGGGTAGGTGATGTAGTGGTTCAATCCCTAGTAACATAACAGAAGAGAGCCAGGTACACTTGTAATCTCAGTTAAATCAGGAGGCTGAGATAAGAGAGTTGTAAATTTGAAGCCAACCTAGGCAATTTAAGAAGATTCTTTCTCAAAATAAAAAGGGCTAAGGGATAGGGTTATAGCTCAGTGGTAGAGTGCTTGCCTAGCACATGTGAGGCACTGAGTTCAATTCTCAGCACCACATAAAAATAAATATTGTGTCCATCTACAACTAAAAAAAATACTTTAAAAAAAGGGGGGGTTAGGAGTCCCTGCGCATTTTCGCACACCTGTAATCCTAGCAGCTCTTGAGTTCAGAGCCAGCCTCAAGTGATTTAGAGAAGCCCTAAGCAACTCAGTGAGACCCTGTCTCTAATAAAATACAAAATATGGCTAGGGATGTGGCTCAGTGGTTGAATGCCCTTAGTTCAACCCCTGGTAGAGTACCTGCAGGTTCAATCTCCACTATCACAAAAAATAAAAAGATTTGACTAGGCTGGGACTGTAGATTAGTGGCAGAGCACTTGCCTAGCATGTGTGAGGCACTGGGTTCAATCCTTAGCACCACATATAAATAAATAAAGGGAGCTAGGGTTACAGCTTAGTAGTAGAGTGATTGCCTAGCACGTGTGAGGCACTGGGTTCAACACTACATATAAATAAAGGCATTGTATCCATCTACAACAAAAATTATTTTTTAAAAAATAAAGGAGTTCTATCCAACTACACCTACCAAAAAAAATTTTTTTAAGGATTTACTAAAGAACAACTGGCCAGTAAATATACAGAAAAATGTTCATTCACAGAAATTAATGTAAATTAAAACTACTAGACATTTAAATTGGCAGATAAAATGATATAGCAAGGATGAATGAACATGGACATTCTTAAATGCTGTCGGAAGTATAAATTAATGTGCTGTACAGCCCTTCTGGATATCACTTTGGCAGTAAGTATCAAGTGTCTTATAAGACTGACACACTACCTGCTGCACTTCAAGTGAATTAAATTTGTGCAGGCCTTTTGATGCAGAGAGCTATTTAGTGAAATCTACTCTAAGGATGTACTGAAGTACAGAAACATCTCTAAACATTCAAATAAGAGTTATGTAAAAGTTAAATTATGGTGTTTTTTGTTTTCCAGCACTGGGGATTGAACCCAGGGATGCTTTACCACTGAGCTACATCCCAGCCTTTTTTTTATTTTTTTGAGACAGAGTCTCACTAAGTTGCCCAAGCTACCCTTGAATTTGCAGTCCTGCCTCAGCCATCCAAACTACTGGGATTACAGGCATAAGCCGCCTCACCWAGCTAAATTATGGTATTTTTGTGAAAGGAATATAATGAAGTCATTTTAATGTAGCTGGGTGTGGTGGCATGCACCTGTTGTCCCAGCATTCAGGAGGTTGAGGTGGAAGACTCACTTGAGTCTAGGAGTTTGGACCAGCCTGGTCAACATAGTAAGGCACCATCTCAGAGGGAGGGGAAAAAAAAAAAAAACAGTGGGGCTGGGCACAAATATGTCTCTTGATAAGATACAGATATTCATAATATTGTTTACAAGTATTCAACTGAGACCAATCTCTCAGTCTCAGTGAATCAGCCAGGAGGAGAGTGTTTTTATTTTAACATAGAAATAATGTATATTAGCACATCTACATATAATTACTTTCTGTAGAATTGGAGATACACCATATAAGGTATACATTTCTGTTTGTGCAGGACTATTACATGCTTTTAAGGATTTTCACACTACTCAAAATATGTATATCCCATTATTTGTTATTCATTTTCTTATTGACAGACACTTTGTACTTTTTCTGCTTTCTGCAATTATAAATAATAGTGCAATAATATTCTTATAATTTTGCATTTATGTATATTTATGAGTATTTTTGTAGATAGACCAAAAGTATGCACATTTTCAATTTTGACAGATCACTGTCAACTTGTCAGCCTCAAAAAGCTGTACCAATTTATACTTCCATCAAGTACATGTGAAAGCACCAATTTTGCTAAACTATCTTTGCTATTGAAATTTATCACGTTTTCTTTCCAGTTCCATAATCTAAGTAACGAAAATTGAATCAAATGATCACATTTATTTGCACTACTGAGTACTAAATGAGGATAGCATATATATATTTTTTTCTTAAATAGGGAAGAAAATTAAAAAGCTTCAGAGAAAAAGATTGGAACACCTAAGTTTGTCTATATAATGCTACATATAGGAACAGTTAAAAGATAAGAATAAATTAAAAGTACATTTGTATCAGTAAAATACTTAATTTTTTGAAAGTGTCCCTATAACTCATAGGAAAGAAAAATAACAGTAGAAAAATTTAGGGAGTACATAAACAGGATTTCTCAGTTAAAAATGCTAATGACCAATAAGAATATATAAATGCTATCCTCATTAGGAGGAGACTTTTGATCTGCCAGCCTGAAGCAGCCATATAAGACTAAGATTAAGGGATCAGTCAGGAGCAGTGGCACATGTCTGTAATCCCAGTGACTCAGAAGACTGAAGCAAGAGGATCTCAAGTTTGAAGCCAGCCTCAGCAGTTTAGCAAGACCCCAAGCAATGTAGCAAAACCCTGTCCCTAAAATAAAGGGCTGGAGATATTGCTCAGTGGTAAAGCACCCCTGGGTTCTAAAAATAATAATAATAATAATAATAAGCAATCAAAGTCTCGAGGGAAAAATGAGAGAAATCTGGGGGTGAAGGGAGAGATACTAAGTCTCAAAGGAAGTGCCCATAAACTGTAGAAATGCAGGAAACACCCAGAACAATTACAATTCCTTAATGACATCCCTTTGGCTAGCATCCTTGAACCCTGCCCTTGTAACGTAAGGTCAAGCACAGGGAAAACTGGTGAGAAATTCTGCAGCTCCACTAGACACTATGGTGCATGCCTGTAGGCTCAGGAGGCTGAGGTAGGAGGATCCTAAGTTCAAAGCCAGCCTAAGCAACTTAGTGAGACTCTGTCTCTAAATAAAATATGAAAAGGGCTGGGGATGTGGGGATTGAACTGAGGGACACTTATCCCAGCCACATCTCCAGCCCTTTTTATTTTTTGAATCAGGATCTTGCTAAATTGCTTAGGACCTCACTAAGTTGCTGAGGCTGGCTTTGAACTTTCGCTTCTCCTGCCTCAGCCTCCCAAATTACTGGGATTACACTCCCAGCAAAAAAAAGAATGATTTTTTAAAATAAAAATTTAAGTCAGGCATGGTGGCATGCACTAGTAGTCCTAGTACTCAGTAAGCTGAAGTAAGAGAATCCCTTGAACCCAGGAGTTAGAGACTAGCCTGGGCAACATAGCAAGACCCTGTTTCAAAATTAAACAAAAGGCAAAAATTGTATATTTATTTTGAACCCAATTCATTCAAGCAGCTTCACAAAATGCTTTTCATCAGATACAGACCAGTGGCAGTGTCAAAAGATATATGGTATGAGTGATGGAATGACTTTAGCTTCCATAAGTAACATCAGTTTATTTCCTAAAAAAGCTTCACCAAAAAACTTAATTTCCGTTACAAGTCACAGAAATTCTGGCACTCCAGGAATGGAGACAGTTCCACATAGAACCACAATCCCCATTTCTCTTCTGTATTACGCATTTTCAAAGCCTTCAACAAATACATTTTTATCAGACTTTGTTTTGACCTCTTGCTTATTCTTGGGTTTCAGAACCATGTGTGCTCAGTACTGCATCTCCTTTGCTGATGTTGAAAAAGCTCACCTCAACATTCGAGATTACATCCATCTCACACCAGTGCTAACAAGCTCTATTTTGAATCAAGTRGCAGGACGCAATCTTTTCTTCAAATGTGAAGTCTTCCAGAAAACTGGATCTTTTAAGGTAAAGTTTCTTTTGTTAGTGTATTGTGAATGTTTTCAAGCCCTCTTAACATATAAATTTATTTGATTCTCCAGACCATCCAGGGATTTGGGAGGATCACAAGTTTGTGGTTGGCCTCAACAATTTAGTGAGACCCTATCCAAAATATAAAATAAAAGGGGCTGGGGATGTCACTCAGTGGTGAAGTACCCCTGGGTTCAATCCCCAATACCAAAAAAGGAACTTATAACATTTGAAATAATAGGGTGCAAAATTTGCAAAATTTTTTATTTTTTTTTAAGAGAGAGTGAGGATATATATATATATATATATATATGAGTGAGAGAGAGAGAGAGAGAATTTTAACATTTTATTTCTTAGTTTTCGGCAGACACAACATCTTTGTTTGTATGTGGTGCTGAGGATCAAACCCGGGCCGCGCACATGCTAGACGGGCGCGCTACTGCCTGAGCCACATCCACAGCCCCGGGTGCAAAAATTTTAAGTTCTGATTACCTAGCATCATAGTGCTGATAAGCCACTTAATCTAAAAATCCCTTATAAAAGAATTATATACACATATGGGGGGATATTTGTATAATTATACTATACATAATCATTTATTTATTGTCTAAAATAGGACAAAAGGGAGAATTTCTAATGAAAAAATCAGGACAATGCAGCGACATGTACCTGTAGTCTCAGCTACACTGGGATCTCAGCATGAAGATCATTTGAGCCCAGGAATTCAATGCCAGCCTGGGCAACACAGTGAGACCCCATTTTTCTCTAACTTTTTTCCCCCCTATACTGGGTATTGAATGCAGAGCGCCTTGTATTTAATAGACAAGTAGTCTCCTCTTAGCTTTGTCCAAAATATTTTTTTTTCCTTTTTCTTTGAGGTCTGCATAGGATGGCCTGGAACTTAAAATCCTTTTGCGTCAGCCTCCCTCCCTTACCCCAGTAGCTGGGATTACAGGTATTTGCCACCATGCCCAATGAGATCCCTTTTTTTTTTTTTTTTTTTTTTTAAGAATAAGACAGCCAGGTGTGTTGGCTCTGGAGGCTCAGGGAGGAGGATTGTGAGTTCAAAGCCAGCCTCAGCAATTTAGCAAGGCCCTAAACAATTCAGTGAGACCCTATCTTTAAATAAAAAATACAAAAAAGGTCTGGGATGTAGCTCAGTGGTTAAGTGCCCCTGAGTTCAATACCCAGTACAAAAAAAAAACAACAGCCAGGGCTGGGGTTGTGGCTCAGCAGAGCGCCTCCCTAATATATGCGAGGCCCCGAGTTCCATCCTCAGCACCACATAAAAATAAACAAACAAAATAAAGATATTGTGTGCAACTACAACTAAAAAATTTTTTAAAAAACCACAGCCAGACATGGTGGTGCACACCTGTAATCCCAGTGGCTCAGGAGGCTGAGACAGGAAAATCACAAGATCAAAGCTAGCCTCAGAAACTCAGAGAGGATTTGTCTCTTAATAAAATACAAAAGGGGCTGAGGATGTGCCTCTGTGGTTTAATCTCCAGTACCAACAAAACAAAAAATAAAACAAAAAAAACAAAAACGACAAAAATAGAGATCAACCTGGACTATTTCAGGCAAAATGTAGTGTATGTGACCCAGGTTTAAGCATCCATTTTGTGTCAACTTGCTACATACACACACTGATTGATACCTTTTGAGTATAAAAGATCTAAATCTAGCCAAACACTCCATAATAAAATCTTTTTCTACAAAATGTCAATGCCTTCCCTATGCATAGATATGCTTCTATGTGTTAACTTACTACCAAAATCTTCTGATCATTAGGTGAGCTTTAAGATCCTTTCAGGGGGAAAGTGTGCAAGGTGCATTTAGCAATATAGTACCTATTAACTGAGAGGTGGTTTTGGTTTTTRTACTGGGGATTGAGCACCATGGGTGCTTTACCACTGAGCAGCATGGCATCCTCAGTCCTTTTTATTATTATTATTTTTAAATACTGAGACAGAATCAAAAATATTGAGATAGGGTTTCACTAATTTGCCCAGGCTGGATTTAAACTTGGCATCTTCCTGCTTCAGCCTCTGAAATAGCTGGAATTACAAGTGTGTATCACTACACCTGACTTAGCACATATAATTATATACAGTGTGTAATACTTAAAAAGAAACAACTTACTGATGTATTTACTATACTATACTTTTTTTAATATTTGTTTTTTAGTTGTAGGTGGACACAATAACCTTTATTTTATTTTTATATGGTGCCTAGGATGGAACCCAGTACCTCACATGTGCTAGGCAAGCACTTCTACTGCTGGGCCACAACCCCAGCTCCCTATACTATACTTATTATTGTATTAGAGTATATGCCTCTTTTATTTTACTTATGTTTTTGGTGGTGTTGGGTCCTCCTGCATGCTCAGGACATGCTTTACCACTAAACTATGTCTCCAGTCCTACTGTTTCTACTTAAAAAAAAAAAAGTTGGGGAGGACCTGCAGAATGGTGCATGCTTTTTAATCCCAGAAATTTGGGAGGATTGTAAATTCAAGGCCAATCTCTATAATTTAAGGTTCTAAGCAACTTAGTGAGACCCTGTCTCAAAATAAAAAGTGTTAGTGATGTGGTTCAGTGGTAGGTAGAGTGCCTCTGTGTTTTATAAAAAAGAAAAAAAAAAAAAAAAGGATGGGTTATGGATGTACCTCAATGGCAGAGGACCTTTGAGAGAGTTCAATCATCAGTGGGGTGTGGGGGGGAACCATGTTGAGCTGGGGGGATGGAGTTCAGCTATACAGCACTTTTTAAAAACATTTTTTTAGTTGTGGGTTGACACWTTTTTTTTTTAATGTGGTGCTGAAGATTGAACCCACTGCCTCAAGTATAGTAGGCAAGCACTCTACCTCTAAGCCACAACCCCAACCCCTATAAAGCATTTATTTTTGAGACCCTAAGTTTGGTCCTAGCACTACCGAAGGGGAAAAAAAAGCTTACAGAATAAGGATGTAAAGAGAAAATGTTTTTTTAGAAAGAAATTTTTTTTTATATTTTTTTTTTCAGTTTTCGGTGGACACCTTTATTTTATGTGGTGCTGAGTATCGAACCCAGTGCCCTGCGCATGCCAGGTGAGCGCGTTACTGCTTGAGCCACATCCCCAGCCCAAGAGAAAATATTTTTGTACAGCTAAATGCATTATGTTTTAAGCTAAGGGTTATTACAAGAGTTGAAAAGCTAAGCAAATCTAATTAAGTAAAAAAAAAAGTTACACTAAGTTAGGGTTAGTTTATTATTTTAGAAAAATATTGTTTTAAGGTCAGGCATGATAGCATATGCCTGTAATCATAGCTGCTGGGGAGGCTCAGGCAGAAGAATCCAAGTTTAATGCCAGTTTAGGCAATTTAGCAAGACCTTTCTCAAAATAAAACAAGGGTACCGCTGGGTTCTATCCCTAGTACTTAAAAAGAAAAAGAAACTTAATAAATTTAGTGTAGCTTGAGTGTTTAGTCTTCCAGTGGTGTACAAGGTCTTATATATTGTCCTATACAGGTATATCATTTTTTATCTTTTTTTTTTTTTTTTGGAGGGGGGCCCTGGGGATTGAACCCAGGTGCACTGTATCACTGAGCTATATCCCCAGTCCTTTTTATTTGTTGAGGTAGGGTCTTGCTAAATTACTAAGATTGACCTCAAATTTGTGATCCTCTTTCCTCATTCTCTTGAGTTGCTGTAATTACAGACTTGCACCACCATACCCAGCTACAATTTTTATCTTTTATATTATTTTTACAGTACTTTCCTGTTTCTGTACACAAGTACTTACCATTGTGTTACAATTACCTATAGTATTTCAGTTTAGTACAGTAATATGTATTTAGTACAGTAATATGTAGGTTTGTAGCTTAGGAGCAATAGGCTATACCACACTTCCTAGGTTATGTAGTAGGCTCTATAATGTTTGCACAATGAAATTGCCTGAGAATGCACTTCTCAAACTTGTTCCCATCGGGAACAAGTAAGGGATGCATGACCATACATTAATTCACCATCCCTCTTTTCCAGATTCGTGGGGCGCTTAATGCCATCAGAGGCTTAATTCCTGCCACCTTAGAAGGAAAGCCCAAAGCTGTTGTTACTCACAGCAGTGGAAATCATGGCCAGGCTCTCACTTATGCTGCTAAACTGGAAGGTACTTGATAACTTCTCAAGGTAGTCATTAGATTGAGTGGAAAAGTGTCCTTAATTTTCATTCAGAATGGTGATAGCTATGGGGTCAATTTCCAAAGGAGTCTCTGATTACAAGCAAAATGAACAAAAGTTTCTATCCAAAATTCTCCTGACTTGTGCTAACATGTTTTTCCTCTCCCAGGTATTCCTGCTTATATTGTGGTACCCCACACAGCTCCCAACTGTAAAAAACTGGCAATACAAGCCTATGGAGCCTCTATAGTTTACAGTGAACCGAGCGACGAGGTAAAGAAAGCAGTGTTCAGCACCACCTAAACAGCTTCATTTGACCAACCACTCTTCCTACTATACTGGATGCTCCTTCTCAGTCTTGTTTCCTCTTCACCTCTGTTAGCACACCCAAACTTTTCTCTATCTATACTCATTTGTATCATTTTAAATTTTCACCTCTACTCCAATACCTCCAGACTTGTATACCCAACAGCTACCCAACTTTCTCACTTGGATATCTTAAAGATACTCAAACATCTCAGAAGTTACTGTTTCTCCACCTTACCTCCCCAATACTAGGGATTGAATTCAATTGCACTCTACCACTGAGTCACATTTCCAGCCCTTTCTTTATTTTTGAGATAAGAGTCTCACCATGTTGCTGAGGCTGGAACTTTTGCTCCTCCTGCTTCAAAATCACTAGGATTAAACCATGCCCATCTATAAAGTAACTGTATCTAAAACAAAACTCCTCATCTTACTCCCCAAATTGTTCCCCTTTGTCTTCATCTTGGTAAATGGCAATTTATCCTTTTGGTTGCTAGAGGAAATCAACACTATTACACCCCACATCCAATTCTGTCCTTTCAAAGTGTTTTCACAATCCAACTAGTAACAAGCCTCCATTAACCATCCTTATTCAGATCATTACCTACATTCAGTAGCCTTACTAGACTCTGCTTCCAGTCTTGCTTCCTGTAGCAAGAACAACTAGAGCTTCCATTTATTTAGAATTTCTCAACTCAAATCTTCCCATGGTTTCCCACTTCATACAATGGAAATCAGGTTTTGCTTTTATTTTGGGGCTGGAGATTGAATCCAGGTCCTGACCCCATGCTAAGCACTAAGCATATACTCTACCACTGAGCTACAAACTCCCAACCAAAGTTCTTATAATCATCTTCAGCCTAGATGAACTAGCCCTTTGTTCTGAGGGGGTTGACTCCGCCTGAGATGGGGGTCTCACTAATTTGCTTAGGGCTTCACTAAAAAGCTGAGGCTAGCTTTAAACTTGAAATTCTCCTGCCTCAGCCTCCAGAGTGACTAGGATTATAGGCCATGCCACAGCACCTGACCCATGGCTATTTTGTTAAGGGGAGGGTGTGGGAGGGGTACCAGGGATTGAACTCAAGAATCTCACCCCTAAGCCACATCCCCAACCCTATTTTGTATTTTATTTAGAGACAGAGTTTCACTGAGTTACTTTAGTGCCTCACTGTTGCTGAGGCTGCCTTTGAACTCATGATACTCCTGCCTCAGCCTCAGTTGCTAGGATTAGGTGTATACCACCACCCCAACTCCACTGCTATTTTTCTTGGGTTATCTTATCTTATGCCAATCACACTAACTTCTTAGCATTTCCTTAGAAAGACCACTACCCACCTTGGACTCTCTGACCCTATTACCACCTCTTTAAAGTATTCTAGAGATCTACTGCACTTGTATAATTTGTCACTTTATCATAGATGTTTCCTGAGCAGTCTTTGTAAGATAAAATGTTTTTTCTCCATAGTACTTAGACATACATGTATTCACTTATATCCCACCCCTATCCTAAAGATATAACTTCTTGAGGGCAGGATTTTTGTTCACTGCTTTACTTATCCCCAGGGACTAAACAAAGTCTGGGAAAAAGTAAGTAGTCAATAGCATTAAAATGACTGAAACTTTTTGGGAACTTTATTAAATGCCTAACCCTAGTAAGCTAAATTAATGTACTCTTTTAGTCCAGAGAAARGGTTACAAAAAGAGTTTTGGAAGAAACAGAAGGCATCATGGTACATCCCAACCAGGAGCCTGCGGTGATAGCTGGGCAAGGCACAATTGCCTTAGAAGTGCTGAGTCAGGTAAAACAGCCTAGTTACTTCTTTATATTTTACTGGTGACACTGTTTTGACATACAAAACTGCTCATTAATTGGCCTACTTGTACTTTGTTTTACAAAAGGTTCCCTTGGTGGATGCACTAGTGGTTCCTGTAGGGGGAGGAGGAATGGTTGCTGGAATAGCAATTACTGTTAAGGTAAGAAGACACCTTCAGAAGACTTCCTGCCTTAGGCAAAAAGGACTTTATAGATACCTAWTTCAACATTATCCCCAAATGGCCATTACTTGAGGTGGAAAGCCTTTCCCTGACTTACTACCCTCTTCTTCATGTATGACAAATTTACAGCATAAAAGCACCTTACAGTCCTTCCCCTGGATCCATCTCCATTATTATTCACACCAGGTACTACCTTTCCCAAAATGACCAAAGCCAATTGTGATCCAGGCATCTAAAACCCAGTATTAGACATACAATTTATTCATAAAGTGCTTGAAGGTCATGTTTTCATTACATCCATCAAAAGGAAGACTCTTACATAGCCAGAAATGCCCTTTTCCCCCTATTCTGCATACTTTATTTAAGCATGTAGGTAATGCCGTAGTTACTTGTAAGATGTCTAATATTCCTCTTCCAGGCTCTGAAACCTAGCGTGAAGGTATATGCTGCTGAACCCTTGAATGCAGATGATTGCTACAAGTCCAAACTGAAAGGGGAGCTGACCCCCAATCCTTATCCTCCAGAAACTGTAGCAGATGGTGTCAAATCCAGCATTGGCTTAAACACCTGGCCTATTATAAGGGACCTTGTGGATGATGTCTTCACTGTCACAGAGGATGAAATCAAGGTAAGGCTCCAAGAGGAAAAAACCTATAATAGTACAACTTTAAGCAAGACAACCTTTCTCCAACCACAGGGTGATTTCATGACCTATGGGAGGGTACCCAAGCTGTATTAGGACAAACCTCTGAGGCAAGCAGAGATGAAAGTTGTGTTCTCCACTGGCAAACACACATGCATTAGCAACGAGAAAATTCAGACTAGGCATATATCTTCATTTGGCCTATAGAAGTAAACCTTTCCCCTTCTCCTGTTTTGTTAATCCTTACTCACTTCTATACCAACAGTATGCAACCCAGCTGGTTTGGGAAAGGATGAAACTACTCATTGAACCTACAGCTGGTGTTGGAGTGGCTGCTGTGCTGTCTCGGAATTTTCAAGCAGTTTCTCCAGAAGTAAAGAACATTTGTATTGTTCTCAGTGGTGGAAATGTAGACTTAACCTCCTTAAGTTGGGTGAAGCACGCTGAAAGGCCAGCTCCTTATCAGTCTGTTTCTGTTTAATTTTTATAAAAGAAAGAGATGGGCTTCAGTGTCTCTCTGGATACATTAAATTTTTGTTTTTCATGTTCCCCTCAGGCAGGGCAGCTCAGTGAAAGAGCATTTGCCTGGTATGTGCAAGGACCCAAGTTTGATCCCCAGCACCAAAACATCTTCTCGTAAAGTTTTCAAAGTCCTAATGGAAAACAGATATTTCAGTATATTTAATAGTTTTCTTAGACCAAATAGAAAAACTTCCATACTTAACTGAGCCAAGATCTTTCGTAAACAGGACAGCATACTGATGACTAAAGTATAAACTACAAACTGCTCAGTCACAACCTGTAGGCCCCATCTTTATAGTGCTAATTATTAACAATAAGACAGAATCCTACTGAATCCATTACTCTATGTCCAATTCAGGCACTGTTGAAGAAATCTCACTTTTCACCCAAGGTACTGGTTCTGGTACATATGGATCATAAGTCCATTTAGGGAAAACTCGTTTATAAAGATTCATCAGTACTGTGTCCTGAGATTTTAGCTTCCCATCAAAACTGCATTTCATATGGCCATGGGTACCTAGAAACAAACATAACAAAATTGGTCAAATTAAAAAAAAAATTTATAGTAGTAAACTTCCAATACAATAGCTATTTAATAGCATAGAGGAAATCTATATAAAATCCCAAATTCCACATTTTCTTACCTAAAGGCTCCCTGATGTGTCCTCTACGGCCCCACTTTGTTCTCAGTTCCACTGGTTTAAACCATAGTACATCCTCTTAGAATGGAGCATACAGAAGACCAAAATGAAACATTTACTCATAATGTAAACACAACCCTCACACCATAAAAGCAATCAGATCCCATCCTCTTCCTTTGTACCTACCTCTATTAAAGAACATATAACGTACTACTGCCATCTTAGTGAAAATTTTGAAAGGATGACCACTCAGAACAACTCTCTTGATGACCATTCTATCTGGATCCACTGACAACAGATGGCCTGTGGCAACAAGGCTGTGCATTCCTAAAGGAGAAAAGGAAAACAACTATTCAGGAGTTTTCAGGCCAAAGCCTTCCTTTATTGCTCTGTTCACTTAAGAGAACGATGCAATATTTTCTTGGAGAAACTACAGTAGGAATGCACAATGCTACCCTGGTCCACAGTAAAGAACCACTAAATGCTATTCCTGCTAAGCCTGTCCCCTAAACATAGCACTCTAAGTAGCCCCTAGTGATTAGCTAAGGTCTACACAGCAAGATAAAACCCAGTTTACCATCCCACAGTGGCTTCAACTCACTGTGAGGGAAAGACTGGTATATCATTATCTTCTCTATTTGCCTTCCAAATCAAAACACAGAATTGAGAACAATGATAATCCTATTAAGGACCTGTAAGCCTGTTCACCTCTGTGAACTCAACTTACCGTTGCTTTTCTGCTTGAAAAGCAGCACAGATGCAGGAGGAAAAGTAATTGGTGCATATACCGTCACCACCAAGGCCGCATCAGCAGTCAAGAATCTCTGAAGTTTATGTTTATCTGCTGCCATAACAAAGGATAAAAAAGAAAAGCCAAAACATTTTGAGGTAATCCAGAGGCCTATGAAAAGCTGCATCAGATGCAACTCTTTTTTGGTATTTTGCAATCTGTGAGGGGCGGGGTGTTGCTAGGGATCCAACTCAGGGCTTCAGACACACTAAGTGCTCTACAACTTGCACCTTCATTCCCAGCTCAACTGCAACTCTTAAACCAAAAGCAACTTGGTTTTCTTTTCTTTCTTTTTTTGGTGTGTGGTGCTAGGGATTGAACCCCAGGGCCTGTGCATGTGAGGCAAGCACTCTAGCAACTGAGCTAAATTCATAGTCTCAGCTTATGTTTCTTTACCCCACTAATTCTCAAGAAATTTTTCCTGTTAACACAATTGATATATTTAACCCAGTCCTACCCATGATTTTTCTTTTATTTTTTTTAAGTGTAGATGGACACAACACAATGCCTTTTATTTTTAGGTGGTGCTGAGGATCAAACCCAGGTCCTGCCCGTGCTAGGTGAGAGCTCTACCGCTAAGCCACAATCCCAGCCCCTACCCATGATTTTTTAACTGAAGACAAAATCTTAGAGCTTAGCATGGTCTCACACACCTGTAATCACAGCTACTAGGGAAGCTGAGGCAGGAGGATCACAAGTTCAAGGCTATGGGCAATTAGTGAGACCCTGTCTCAAAATAAAATAATTAAAAGGGCTGGGAATGTAGCTCAGTTGTAAAAGTACCCCTAGGTTCAAGCCCTACTAAAGCTTTTAAGAAAAAAAAGTTCTCCAGGTGAATTCTACTGTTCAACACCCCTACCTCATGAGAATCAGTGCTTTATTGAGACTCTCCTAGATCCATCAGCTCTTAGTCTTGCACAGGGACTGCCAAACATTTTTTTTTTAAAACCCGGGCACAGTGGCGCATGCATGTATTCCCAGTGGCTCAGGAGGCTGAGGCAGGAGGATCTCAAGTTCAAAGCCAGCCTCAGCAATGGCAAAGGCACTAAATGACTCAGTAAGACCCTGTCTCTAAATAAAATACAAAATAGGGCTGGGGATGTGGTTCAGTGGTTAGTGCCCGCGTTCAATCCCTAGTACAAAAAAAAAAAAAAAGCTTTTTTGTGTGTGTGGCCATACAGTTTCTGTTCCAACTACTCAACTCTGCCATTTTAACACAAAAGCAGACAGAAATCATACATTTGGAGATTTGTTTTAAAGCATGACCATGTTCCAATAAAAGTCTGTTTACAAAAACAAGCAGTGGGGCACATTTGACCCAAAGGCCATGGTTTGTTGACATCTGATTTTAATACTAAAGCTAAAGGAAGATAAAATATTTTAAGGGAAAGAAATCATTTTAGATAACACAGTTGGCTAAATAAAAACTATGCAGAGCACATTAGTGGCTGCATTCATCTCTTCCTCCTATCATTGCTGAAATCTCAGTTAAGGTATGTTCACAAGCCCCCAGGTTAGTGGGCAATACACCTGGCTAGTCCTGAAGTGTAGGAATACAATGATTATTCCCACCAAAATGATTCCTGGTCACCATGCTCCAAACTCTGTCATCTGGTCTTTACACCTCAAAACCCACACTTTTCTTCTTTATCCAATTGTAGGCTACACCCAGCCTCCATCCCTTCACCCACACTGACACTGGCATATCAGATACCAAGATTTCCACGCAATGACACACCCTTTTTATAAAGCTGCCAACTCTGATTCAAATCCTATTCTAGAATAAATACTCATGGCAGAGAAGCCTCAGCAGCACACAGAAGTTGCATCAATGAGATGTTTCAGACAGGTTCAGACATTTTGAATAAGAACATCATTGGCTCCTAAGCCAGAGTACTGAAAATACCTCTAACACTAGCTATTCTGCACCCAGCGCCCATCAGCAAAAAGTTACGGATTCCTAAAAGTCAGTAAGATGGTCTAGAACCCAGAAATTTTCCCACTGCTAACCTGCAGTATGCTGAGAAAATAAAGGTGAGGCTCGGAAACGCCTGAATCCACAGTGGAAAATCAACTCTTCTTTGGCCTTTACAGGTTCAGTATTGCCAGGATTCCGGCTTACCACCATGTTCAACACTGACATCTGAGAACCAATAAGAAAAAAAGCTTCATAGTCTAGGAATAAAACAGCCTAACCTGAAAGGCAGCAAACTAAATGAACATCAGCCACACAATAGAACTGACAATGTTAATTCATGGCAAATTATAGAGATGATGGGACACAGGTGTATCCTTTATGTCCATTAACAACTGCACTAGAACTGAAAATAGGCTTGACCAGAGTTTTCATCCATCTTCTATGCTAGCTTATCTTCCCAGATCTAATATTAAAAAGCTTACCATATGCCACAAATACCAGTGGTCTTCAACTCATTTACTTACCACATCCCTTCAAAATCACTCATTAGACTTCTCTTCCTCAACCTGTACTCACACTAACCAAAAGTCAGAGCTATCAATCACATAACCCCCAAAGTGACAACTACTGGCTACCTAGAGAAAGAGAGATTTGCACTTTGACATAAAACTTCATTTTTTTTAAATAGGATTTTTTTCATTTTTTAACAGAGAGAGGGAGAGAGAATTTTTTAATATTTATTTTTCAGTTTTCGTCGGACACAACATCTTTGTTTGTATGTGGTGCTGAGGATCGAACATGCCAGGCGAGCGCGCTACCGCTTGAGCCACATCCCCAGCCCAAAACTTCATTTTTAAGATTGCCAATCCCTTGTTCAAAATCTGACCTCAAAAACATACTTAGAGAAGTCTCAGAACCACACAAAGATTACATCACTGAGATGCTTCAGACAGGTTCAGACATTTTGGGTAAAACCATCATTGACTTCTCCATTGTTTTCTGAGTCCTAAGTCAAAAGGTAAAATCCTCACATCCCAATGAACAATGTCATGAATGAGTTAAAAAAAAAAAGTCTCTTAACTCTCCATTTCCCAAAAGACACTAATTTACCTTCTGTTCATGAGGTAGCAAAGAAAATGCAATCAAAGGTGCTCCTTTCCTGAAGTATTCAACTACTGAGAAAGGGACTTCAGAGACATGAAGTGTGACATACCAGCCAACCTGCCAAAAGGAAGCAGAAAACAACCACAGGGTTAACCTTAGAAACATTTCTCCAGGACTGGGAATGTGGTTCAGTAGTAGAGCTTTTGCTTAGGATGTCCCAGGCCCTGGGTTCAATCCCAGCACCAAAATATAATACAACAAGAAATATTTCTCTAAATGTGTGCAAAGTCTCTCAGACTAACCTAAAACCTACACTTATCTTCTGCCTTTCACAGATGCCTCTACTACCCAGATTGAACTTTTTTTTTTTGTACCAGCGATTGAACCCAGGGACATTTAACCACTGAGCCACATCCCTAGCCCTTTTTGTATGTCAGAGACAAGCCCTCGCGGATTTGGTTAAGCCCTTGTTAAGTTGCTGAGGCTGGCTTTGAACTGGCGATCCTCCTGCCTCAGCCTCCCCAGCTGCTGGGATTACGATGTACACTACCACACCTGGTGCACATTCAACTTTTTTATTTAATGTCTCTGATATCAATGACTCAATGGCTCCCCTAATTCAGCTATAGGCAGCATAAAACTACATTAAATAGTCAAGCTCATGCCAAGAAACAGTAAAGCAGGCAACATGGTGGCAATCAAAAGCAAATTATAGTCAGGCATAGCAGCACATGCCTATAATCCCAATGGCTAGGAAAGCTAAGACAGGAGGATCACATGTTTGAGGCCAGCCTCCGCAACTTAGTGAGATCTTAAGAACTACTTAGCAAGACCCTATCTCAAAAAATAAAAAGGTTTGGGGATATAGCTCAGTGATAAAGCACTCCTTGATTCAATACCCAGTACCACCCTCTCCCCACCAAAGGCAAATAATGGAGTGGACAATGGACAGATACCTCCGCTCCTTCTTCCTCTTTTTCCTCAATCTCTTTAAAGATTCTTTTCCTAGTATTAGTAAAGTTCTGAAACTGAAAGATCCGAGCATAATCTCGAGGAAGATTTTCCTTAGGATCCCATGGAGATGTCCGGAAGCTCTTAAGGCCTCTGTACTTCTGAAATCTAAAATATAGGAAAATTCAGAGAAATTAACAGATTATATGGTGCTACATAAGACATGACTTTGATAACAGCTAAGGCTCTATTTTTAAAAACTCTAATCACTCTCTCTCAAAATAATCTAATAACTTAAACCAAGACCACATTTTTAAAACAGTTTTTTAAAAATGTATTTATTTTTTAGTTATACTTGGACACAATACCTTTATTTTACTTATTTATTTTTATATGGTGCTGAGGATCGAACCCAGGGCCTCACCCTAGCTAGATGAGCACTCTACCACTGAGACACAACCCCAGCCCCTTAATTCAGTTTTTAACAACTATTTCAAAAGACTTCTCACTAAGGATAAAGTATTTACAGTGGCTCCATAACTTAACAAATAAGATCTCTGGTAATAGTCTTAGCACTCTAGTAGCCAACATACACTCTTTGGCTTTAGTGAACTCACTTCCAGAGCAGGAACTATTGTCTATTGCTTCATGCTTTTACTTTTGTTGCCCTCCCAAAGTTCCCCTAAAATCTCCAAACATTCTGTACATATTAGCTCCTACAGAGTATTTGTTAAATAACCTTGTTATTTCTCCTTTATTAAAAGTCCTGTAACATCAGTTGTACCATAGTCTAAAACTTTATAACTTTATTATATACGACTATTTCCCATGAGTGTTGACTACCCACATAGAATGTTGGCCCTTAACAAACAGGGGACAATGTCTTTTTCTTCTTTTGCATCACAGTGACATAATTCTGAGATATATTTTTTAAATAAAAACTTGTTGTTGAATTTAGACTTACGGACTAACCGAATTTTAGCAGCCACATCACGGGGGGTGTCCATTTCATCTGGAAACATTTCTTCCATCCTTTCTTGTTTATATTTCTCTAACATTTTTTCCTCAGCCTCCTCATCCATTTTCTCATCATAAAGGTCATCACGTACAGAGTCCCCTATAGTCATAGTTTCACATTCCTCCTCCTCCTCTTCTTCACTTTTTTCATCCTATAAAATAAAGGATTACAACTGGGTGTGGATGCATGCCTATAATCCCAGCAGCTTGGGATGCTGAGGCAGGAGGATCACAAGTTCACAGCCAGCCTCAATAAAATACAAAATAGGGCTGGGGATACGGCTCAGTGTTGAGTGCCCCAGAGCTCAATCCCTGGTACCCCCCAAAAAAGAATTAGTTATTTCAAAAAAAACTCCATCTTACCCCATAGGCCATTAAGCTAAAAATAATTTTACTAGAACCTAGTCTCAACTAACATAAATGCTAATAAAAGATTAAAATAGGGGCTGGGGTTGTGTGTGGCTCAGTGGGAGAGCACTCGCCTAGTATATGTGAGGCCCTGGGTACGATCCTCAGCATCACATAAAAATAAATAAATAAAAGAGGTACTGTGTCCAACTATAACTAAAAAATATTTTTTAAAAAAGATTAAAATATAAAACAAGTTTCATTCCCAGAAACTACTATACACACCCCTCAAGATCAGGATTGCACTCTGCCTATTTGGAGTTGTATACAAAAATGGGCCCAGGGTTAATTTCCCTACCTGAGATTCCTCTTCCATAAAATCCTGTTCTGTGTCATCATCTTCATCTCTTTCCCCTCCACTTTCACCACCTTCATCCAAAATCCATTCAGCTTGGTAACTGGACGTTCCTTTGGGGACCTTCTTTACCACCTTAGAACCTTCCTTCAAATAATCTGTAAAAACCCAAACAAGTTATACACCTCCATTCCCTTATCACTCTGGATAGTCTCACCTATATAGGATGATACTGCTGCCAACATGGGAAACTAGCAGACACCATGAGTAGAAAAGACTACTTAAAATTTAATTCAGCTCCCTCACAATTAGCAATACTTCCAAAGCTAAATAAACCTGGCAACAGACCTTAAGTTGTTTGTGTTTATTATAATACAATAACAAGTTAGTTTCAAAACTGAGCAAAGGTGTGCCCGATGTTTGCCTAGTACAATTATAAAGCATTTGGGGGAAAGAAGAGGTGACAGGACTTCAACTATATCTTCATCCAACTCTACTCTATAGGGTGTGACCAGCTACCCTGTGAGCAACTAATCAAAATTCACAATTCCAGGTCAGATGAATAACAAGATTGCTACTACCAACCTTTTGCCTCACTCAGCTCCTCCTCAGTGGGCCAGGTTTGCTCCCCTTCCATTGGATCTAGAATAACTTCTGTTTGCAAAGACTCTTGTCTATCAGGGTCTGCCTTCATTAGGACCTTAAGATCTTCTTCCATGTCAGATGCAACATCTGAAGCACAAACCTTGAAAACCAAAAGCAGATGATAGCGTCACAATTTTTCAAATGGTCATTTAGCTCTGTACCCCTGCTTGAGTCTTCAGGTCTTTCATAATCTGGTCTTATTCCTAACCACATCCCTCACTTTCATCAGGTTGCTGTCTTCACAATTCAAAGAAACCTTACGCTTCATCACTGTGCTTTAGGTTCATGTTGTATCTATCTTCTAATATTCTTTTTTAAATTTTTGAAATACAGATATTTTTAGTTGTAGATGGACAGCATGCCTTTATTTTGTTTATTTTACGTGGCGCTGAGGATTGAACCCAGCACCTTACACATGCTAGGCAAGCGCTCTGCCACTAAGCCACAACCCCAGCCCCTTCTAACATTCTTTTACCTCTGCTCAACTCAAAATCACAATCCTCAACACCTAGCTAAAATCTGATCCCCTCTGTGAAGCTTGCTAATCTACCTTTTCAACTAATACAGCAGGCCCATATCTTACCATATCCAATTTTTTTATTTCAAATGTTTGACATTTTCTTCTAATTTAACTAAGTTCTCTGACCATCTCTTATAATCTCAGAGCCAACTGCAATGCGAAGTATCTAGAAAATGCTGCACTAATGATTTATCAACATATCTGTAGTTGACTGTTACTTGCCTTCAAACTGTCTCCTCATTGGCTTAAGTATGCAGACTACCGTCTCTCAATTTAAAATTTCTCCATCCTGTTTCAACTTACATATTAATCTACAATGCATGCTTCTAAAAATAAATAAATAAATAAATAAATAAATAAAGATCAATTCTGGAGCTAGGTTCAGTGTTGACCACCTATAGTACCAGCTACTCAGGAGGCTGATGTATGAAAATGGTTTGAGCCCAAAGTTCAACATAGCAAGACCCCATCCCCAAAAAACAAACAAAATCCATCAATCTTACCTCCATTGCCATGCCTGAGTCCTTTKGGGATTTTATCACTTTAGGGTTTAAAGGAAAAGGGTCGATGGGGGCATCTATCTGTTTCATTTGGAAATCACCATGTCCAACAATATGTAGCAAGCTATTTACATTCAGAGTCTGTCCACGAACATAGCCTGAGATTTTCAAGGTGCCCACCAAGTTATTCTCTTCACTGGGTACAAAATCAGCAGCATGGGTAAACAGATAGGCTCGCCGATCTCTAAAAGCAAGATGCCTTCGCTTTTGGTTAGCCAACTGCCTAAACAGTGTTGCTGCTTCCTGTTGAGTGTCTAACAGAAGGAGTCTGTCATCAGGAAATCGCTTCTCTACTGCTTTGCTTAGCTTCTTTCTGGCATCTATTTGCTTTTTCAGAGGGATACCAGAAAATCCCTGGACAGCAAGTGCTGTAAGCAAAAGAGAAGGATCTTTATAATTTATCCCTTCACTATATAAAAATCCCCTGTAGCTTACAAACAACCTAACAATTCTATTGAGATCACTCAACTACCCTAAAGAAATGTCAGTGAGGCTGGGCACAGTGGTGCACGCACACCTGTAATCCCAGTGGCTTGGAAGGCTGAGACAGGATAATTATGAGTTCAAAGCCAGTCTCAGCAACTGCAAAGCACTAAGCAACTCAATGAGACCCTGTCTTTACTAAAATCCAAAAAATAGTGTTGGGAATTGGCTCAGTAGTTGAGTGCCCCCTGAATTCAATCCCCGGTACCAAAAAAAAAAAAAAGTCAGTGAAACCAAATTTCACAATCTTCTTTCTCTCAACAGGACAGCCCAGATATTAAAAAAAAGAAAAAACCTAAACCCTTAATTGGTAATTTGTAAATAAATGACCAAGATTAATTTGTACATGTATATTGCACTACCAGCTTAATACAGTCCATCAGTTATATTCAGGAATCAAATGCCAAGCACAATATCTGAAAACCGTAAAAATGTTAATTCATGGGGCTGGGGTTGTAGCTTAGGGTAGAGCACTGTGCCTAGCACCTGGGAGGTACTGGGTTCAATCCTCAGCACTACATAAAAATAAATATAATAAAGGTATTGTGTCCATCTACAAAAAAAAAAAAAGCTAATTCACTTCCTTCCCTGGCCTCTAATACTCCCAACTTACTTACTATAGGTGGGAAGACCCTGAGCAAAGAGGCAGGAAAGGCAGTAATCCCCAGTGCTGTCCCAGCCTTCTTGTGGATCAAGGAGGAACAGGATGGTATCAGCCACTTTAGCCATATCTAATACACTGTGAAGATCTCCTAAAAATAAAAACACAATAAGAGGAGTAGTTGACATGAGCATATAACCTCATTAACATTACTGCAAACATAAAAACAGAAAAATATTGTATATGCTAACCTGGCCTCGCAGATGTGAAAAACCACCGATGTTTCAAACGGGGGCACAGCAGCATAAAGCTATAGGTGCTTCCCCATTCATTTACGTGCACTGTTCCCAAGTCCCTATCCTGAAGAAGGCGAAAGGCCTCAGACAGGGAAATTCTGTTATGCAAAGCCACCACCAGCACCTGATGAGGAGGCCCATCCTTGCTGCCCAGCTGTCTCTTCTCTGCCAGAACCTGAAAAACAAAATCAGAGAACATCTCTGAACCATGCTCCAGTACTGCTTTTCCAACAGTGCAGATGCTCCTTGCCCTAACTAGCATCCTTGTTAACCACCACATGCATTGGGGCGAGTGGGGGTTGGGTAAGGAGCGCGAAAGAAAGCAGAGAATGCTCTAGCGAGAATCTACACTTGTAGGTAAGCCGGACATGCGCTCTAGGGTTATATATCAGTCCTTTCCTGGCCACATTTTCTAGCACGAAGAATTACCCGTCTAAAACGGTAGAGAAACCGCACCATTCCTCAACCCCCACTCCTCTCACCGCCTCCTTCTTCTGCTTTCGGAGCTGGTTGGCGCGATGTCTCTGGTCTACTCTGCTGAGCTCTTTTCTCACCTTCTTGCACAAGATTTTCAGTTCTACACGACCTGGAAAGCAGATGAAAAAGGGGCTACAGGGATCGACACCATAAGTTGTTCAACCAAGAGCCCCACTGGCCACCTCAGAGTCTTTCGCGTGGGTCCCAGACCCGAGACCAGCTGTCGAGGCACAAAGAAAAGCAACTATGTCGGTTAAACAGCCCTTCCTACATTATCTTCTCACCCTTTCCGTCCCGTTGTGCGGATCCTCGACCCCGATGCCGCCCGCCTTTATGAGCTTTATTCTGCTGCTTGAGCGGGCCGGAGCGGTGAGCCGCCATGCCGAAGTTCACGTGCGCCKAGTCACCAATACTTCCTGCCCAGGCCGAGCGCTTCCGGTTCACTTCGCGGGGGTGGGGTTCCCGCTCCCTCTCGCGAGGTCTTTCCCACCTGCCAGTGTAGCACTCTGTGCCAAAGTCTCTGCGGCCGCGGGAACTTTTCCCACGCCGCAGTCTGCAATTGGGGGCTTTAAAACGCCGAATGTAGATTCTAGGGACTAGGGCTATCGGTCCAGGAGGACTGATTTGCTCCCTGTGTTTTCATTTATTTTTGCACTATAAAGTTGCATCACGTAGGAAGATGTTGAATGAAAGAATCCATTCATGCCTAGAGGCCTAAGCCCTTCCTCTCTTCTAGACTCGACCTCGCTTTTCTGCAGTTTGCCTCAGGTGTTATCACTGAGCATCCTTTCCCTCAATACTCTTAAGTTCCAAGGCGAATCGCGTGGAAGGCTCTTGTTTCACCCTTATCGACAGATCCCTATTACTCTAACCCGCGCCCCACCTCCCCATAGCCTCAAGAAGGACCAGACAGGACGTGGCAACCCCGAAGATGGCAGGGGCGTGGGGGCTGGCAATGACACTTCTGCCCTCGGGCTCCCGTTCTCCATTACTGGCGACTGCGTTCCCACCTCTAATTCCACAAGTTTTGCAGCTGAGAGCGACGGCTGACGGGGGGTATTCGGAGAAGCAATGGGGCCAGGCGACGACCGCTGGCTGGCTTTCCCGGAGGCAGATTCTAGCCACAGGGGACCCAATGCCTGGGCTCCTAYCTCCCTGCAGCCTGCTCTCCCGTCTGGAGAACGGGCAGGTAGAAGTCAGGGAACACCCTGCTGGGTTGAGGCCAGCCGAGGCGCAAGCGGCTTTGCTCTAAGCGGCAGGGTTCAGGGCCAGCCAGGTGCTCACAATGCGGGTTCGCGCCCTCGAGGCAGAAACGGGCGCGTTGCCATGGCAGCGGCCCCGGAGGCGCGCACCCGGGCCAGCCGCCCCCAAGCGCGCGCAGACTCCCCCCGCCCCGACCTCCCCCCCCGTCGCTGTGCGCACCCCCCTCCAGCTGTGGGAAGGGGCCGGGCCTGTTGCTTGACGTCGGTGCGGGGCTCAGAAGATGGCTGCGGAGCCGAGCACCGGGCAGTGGCTGCGGCGGCGGCAGCGGGCGGGGAGCGCGGCGGGCGGGGGTTCCGCCTTGCGCGTGGGGCGCTGAACTGAGAGGCGCGGAGGCGGCGAGGGCGCGCGGGGGTCTTGGGGGCTGCTCGGCGCCGCCTCCCTGCCACCCGCCTCACCATGGGCAGCGCGGAGGATGCGGTCAAAGAGAAACTGCTGTGGAACGTGAAAAAGGAGGTAAAGTCGGGGCCAGGACCCCGGGGTTCTTGCCCCGCCCGCGCGGCCCAGGGAGCTGAAGGGTCAGTGGCAGCCCCTACGGGCGCCCGTGGGAGGCCCGGGGCCAGGCGGGGGCGGGGTCCTGGGCGGGCTAAGGCTGCAGTTCTTCTAGATCTGGGCAGCGCCCCTGGGCCCCAGGGGCCCGGCCGGCGCTCCAGGGCTTATTTGCTTCGCGGTCCCGCAGCTCTCTGCCCGTGACGGCAGCAGCGCCGGGAGACCAAAATTGGGGGAGGGGTGGCGGCGATTTTGGGGGAACCCGAACTGCCCATTCATTGCCCGCGCTGCCTGGGGAGGGGGCGGGGCCCCGCGGGCCTCCTGCGGCGCAGATCCGGGTGGGACTGGGGGGCTTAGCTCCTGCTGAGCTACACCCTGGTCTCCAGGCCCTCTGGCAACTGAGTCGTGGCTGTCGGAGGTTTGCAGCACACCCCACAGTTTCTCCCTCCACGCCCACCTCCTTACCCAGAAACTAGAGTTTTTTGGGTTTTGTTTGTTTGTTTTGAGAATGTTTTTTTAAGATTCAGATCCCCCCTCTTCAAGGAAAGCCCTCATGTCATGAAGAAAAGAGGCCTCTCTACCAACCCCCTTTACCTTGACCCTGCTCAAAAGCCCATTTCAGTTTCAGTGGGTGAGGGGGTGCCCATATGAATGACTCACCAGCATATGAGAGCTCAAGCCCGCAGAGTAGATGAAATGAATTGAAATGAATTAGGCCTCCTTCCTGTACTTTCCTCTGTGGCTAAGTCGATGTGTGAAATCCATGAGGGCAGGAAACCCATCTGTTTTGTCCACTATACTGTATCCAATGCTGTAGAAACTCAGTGACTGGTAAATAGATCTTGAAGACTGAGGTCTGATGAGAAATTATGAAGTTTGGAATATTTTGGACCTGGCCCCTGTGTGACCTTGAGTAAGTTAGTTAACCTCTCTGAGTCTTGATTTCTTTGTCTTTAAAATAGGAATCATGCTACCTATCTCATATATGAAACTTCACTATGTTGGTTCCTTTACTCCTTAGACTTTCAGGATTGAGGAAAACTCTAGGTTCTGCATTAACTGCAGACTGGCTACTATGACCTAACATTTGTTCCTTCCTTCTCCTTGTCAGAGATATAATTGAAGCCATCACTTTCCCAGCTTGTGTGAGAAGCTTCACTGTACTTTTGCTCTGAAGTGATCAAGGAAGAATTTATTTTCTTTTAATTTTCTTTATCTGTGCATTATAATTATATATAATAGTGAGATTTGTTGTTACAAATTTATATATGCACACAATATAACAATATAATTTGGTGAATTTTGTTCCCCAGTAATTCCTCTGTCCTTCCACTCCTCCCTCCCCTGTTCCCTATCCTCTAGTCTGCTGGTCTCTTGTTTTCATAAGATTCCCCAATCCCCTACCCCATTTTTTTTTCCTCTCCCTAGCCTCCACATATGAGAGCAGAAAGGGTTTCTTAAGCCCAGGGTATATCAAATCAGCATTTAAACCTCAACCCTTTCCTTCCCAAGAAGGAAACCTCAGTGACTATCCTCAGAAAGAAGATAATCCAGTGACTGAGACTTTCAGGAAGAGTATAAACATGAACAGAAAAGTTGCTATCCTCATACTACAGACAGATGTTGCTTGGATTATTGGTGTAATCCAAATTTGGTGGTTGATTAGGGATAGTGAGAAGGATTTTGAAGAGATGATGATTTTTTTCCAGTACTTGAAAGACTATATTATTCCAAGGATGATTCCTTTAAAAAGTGAGAAATGTGCAGAATATGCTACAATTATGTATCTTCCTGTCAAAGGTTGACCTGCTCTGAACTTCATATATTTCCCTTCCCCTTTTGGCACTTGGATTACAGGAAAAAAAAAAATGTATCCTTTCTCCTCCTACAAGAAGAGACAAGGGGGATCATTGTAAGCAAGGCTAAACTTTCACAGTGACCCCTGGTATAGGTCTACAAGTATCTGTAGGTCCTAATCCAAAAATGTGCCTCACTAGCCTGCTTTAGGTGATATAAAGACCTTTAGCTGTGATATTATACTCTGTTTAATGCAAACACCCCTTGAGAAGTAATCTAGGAAACTTTTAACAGTTTAGAGTGCAGGCATCTATCCCATCTGATCCACATTTTACCTAGTCACAAAACCATGAGCAGTTCCAGCAGGGAGGAACCTCCAGATTCCTCCTTCCTTCCTCCTCTCCAGGCTCTGGACCCACTTCCACTCTCTAAAGAATAACAGTGCTAAGGGAGGGCCTTGGGGGCCAGGGCAGCATCAGGATGCTGCATGCCTGTTTAAACAGTAGCAAGGACCAGGACTTGCTTTATTTGTAAGATTTTACAGTGAGGCTGAGGAAATCCCCCTCTTAAATCTCTTGTGTTAGTATGTCTCCTGGCAGATTCCCCCAGGACATTAACAGTTCTTAGCTTAAGAATTAGAAGTAACTGGAACTTCATTCACTACTGATGTGTGAGTATAAGTTAGCACAGCCACCTTGGAGAGCATTTTGGCAATGTCTAGTAAAGCAGGATATATGCATCAGAAATTCCTTGTCTAGAAATATAAATTTTAAAAAGTCGGCACATATGTTCACCAAAAGACATTGTCCAGAATATTCGTAGAAATACTATTCATAACAGCCCCAAACTGGAAACTACCCAAATGCCAGTTGATTGTGATGTGTCTACACAATGGGGAATGAACAGTCTACAATTACACACCATATGAAGAATCTCACCATCACACAGGAAAGCAAGTGAAACTAGTCACAAAACACAACATGCTGAGATTATTTAAAAAAAATATATATTAAAATAAGAAGAACCAATCTGTTGGGGCTGGGGATGTGGCTCAAGCGGTAGCGCGCTCGCCTGGCATGCGTGCGGCCCGGGTTCGATCCTCAGCACCACACACCAACAAAGATATTGTGTCCGCCGAGAACTAAAAAAATAAATATTAAAAATTCTCTCTCTCTCTCTCTCTCTCTCTCTCTCTCTCTCTCTCTCTCTCTCTCTCTCTCTCTCTCTCTCCCTCTCTCTCTTTAAAAAAAAAAAAAAAAAAGAACCAGTCTGTTGTTAGAAATCAGGATAGTGGGTACCCTTAGGTGGGAGTGACGACTGGAGGGGAAAAATGACAGAGCAGGAGTGCTTTGGGGTGTTGGTCACATGTTCTATTTCTTGCTCTAGATGCTAGTTTTACAGGATTGTTCATTTTGAAAATTCACTAAGCTATAAAATTTTATTTACTGAATAATCACAATAAACAGTAAACAATAAGACAGTTTCTTTTTAAAAAGCTTTTTGTGTTATTTGGGGTGGCAGGGATTAAGACCAGAGCCTTGTGCATGCTAGACCTCTGGGTACATCCCCAGCCCCTTGAGCTTTTTCTTAAAAAAGATGTGACTGCTCACCTTATAAGGTATTTATTGGGAAGCTTTTATATCCAAGGAGGAATCCAAAATTGTCAGGATTATTGGATTCCTCCTTGGATGGAAAAGATTGAAAACTTATAGCCAGTGTCCCTGTGGCATAGAAGGACCTACTCCTGAACCCTGGAGAAGAGGGAGAAAAGGAAGGGCAGATTGTTTGTCTGCAGTCTTCAGGGAAACAGTCTGTCCCTAAAGGACAGCGTGTCTACCTAGAAGCCCT